TGAGCATCTAAAAATAGTGAGATGTAAAAATGGAATTTCTTTCTACTTACATTCTGATTTTGAAACTATTTGGATGCAACTGATTTGTTACAGGAATATTAACCAAATTCAAGGACCAGAGCTTTGAGAAAGGTATTTTGATAGAATTTGATAAAGTATCAAGATTTGCCAAGAAGAGGCACAAGGAGTAACTTTGTGTTATCTTTCAACAAGAAAGAAAAACAGGTAAAAAAAGTTTTGTACAAGTGAAAAGGATATGCACAGAGAGAAACTACATACATGCAATATGAATACACTTTTTTTTTTCCATATAACATAAACTGCTGGATTTTAATAAATCTCTGATATCCAATGGATATAATCAACCATGCTTTGCTATAAGGTCCAACAGCAGCAAACGGTGACTTTAAAGGAGATTGTCACTGTAGTTTACACAGAACTAAATAAATACTTCAAAATGTATTTGCCAATGTTTGTTAAAGAGTAAAACTCAGGTGACAGGTGCAGTTCCCTGCTGTTTTGCACTAAAAGCAGGAATACGGCCTTATTCTGCCATGAATGAAAATATGCATGTCCTGGCTGCCAAACTTACTGCCTGAATAGTGAAGGAGTTCCTACAGTGTGCAAGCAAAGACAATCAAGAAGCCTGGGGATTTACAACAATTCAAGAGAGGGTGTTTCCTAAATGTTGGTGTCAGGCATTCCTATCAAAAGCAGTGTTAATAACAGAGTCCTACACATTTCAAGCTCCCCATTGTCATGATCTCACAGTAAAATTACAAATCAGCTTTTTCTGAATATATTTTTTCTCCTTTTTTTTTTTTTTTTTAAGGAATAACTGATTTTGGACTGGCTTCCTAGCTTCTCCCATTGCCTGACAAGCAAAGAGAGGGCAATCAGCCACGTTCCCCTGGATAACTCCTGGATAACTTTTTAACCCCTTAACCTATTGCAACCAACTGTAAGGGGGGAAAAGCTCTCAAAGGTGTTTACATTCTGTTGAGACTTGTAAAAATCAGTGGCAAGGTAGGTAAGCGTATCTCACATGTGCATCTTCCACAGGGAAGAGAGGTGGGATTGGGGGCTTGGAGTGAGGAAATGAAGTAGGAAGAAGCAGCAGGGCACTGGGCAAAAGGAAGCTGTTGTCAATGCCAAAAGAAAAGTGCTGAAGTGAGAAAGAAGTAATCCAAGGGAAAACAAGCTTCAGTGGCTCTGTTTCTCACAGAAAAAATGTTCTCACTGTTGCCAGCCTTCAAGCTGGAAGGTTATAATTGTGGCTTCAAAATAAGAAGTTTTTGCTTTTTTCATTCTGACAAGCTCCCCCTGCCTACCCACAACATCTGTGGAACAATGACAGTGTTTTAGGCTCTCCCAAACTTAAATTATCAGGGCTAATTTTCTGGAAGAGATCATTGGAATCAAGTGCCAATGGCCTATATTAAGTGCTGTCTTATGTGTAACTTTACAAATGTAAAATACGATATTCAATATTCCCCCCATATCCATCCATCTTTCGGTTCATCAGGAAAATGTTACTCTCTAGTACCAGCCAGCATTTACCTGGTGCGTGGATGTGCTCCGTGCACATTCACCCGTCTGTTCCTGCTGCAGCTCTGAGGGGACTTCTCCCCCTTTTACCTTCTTGCCTCATGAAGATGGTGTCAGCTATTCACCAGCGTTAAAAAACACATGGTGTCTAGGGGAGGATCAGGACTAGGTCTCCTTCCCACAGCCACCTTGGCTGGGTGTTTCTCCCCGGAGGTAAAACAAAGCTGAAAGGCAGCTGAGCTGCAGTGACGTCTCCAAAAAAAAGGAGCAAAAACAGGAGTTTCCCCAGATGTTAATGCAGGCAGTACACCCAAGCATCTCCTTTTCAAGGCAGACAAATAATTTTGCTGTGCAGAATAGGCTGCAGCTTCCACTGTCTTTTGAAACCAGCCAAGCCCCATGGTCACCACAAGGACTTCTGCAGTCCCAGGGGAGGCAGCGAGGAACAAATAAGGTGGTGGACCTTGGTGTAGGACCGCGTCCCTCCCAAAAGGGCTTGCACGGAGCAGCTGTTTTGAACAAGCTGCTGTGCAGGAATCTCTGCTGAAAACGGAAGGCAAAAACAGAAGTGAACTGGTATGTGGAAATAGCAAGGGTTCCTTTACTGGCTGCAGCAGTCAGCTGAGGAGGAAGGTCAGGAGAGGACGGCACAGCGCTGTTTGCAGATGACATGGGGATAAGGGAGAGAAGGCAGAAGGCACTGAAATTTGTTCATCAAGGAGTCAAGGAAAGTCCTAGAAGCACAAAGAAGAGGAGAAGCTAATGTGCCCTTAAAGGACATTTAACGTGGTATTGCTGACATGTCATCACAGCACCGGCACAGAGCTATTACATGGGTCACTGCAGGGACAGGGTTATGGTGCCCTTCTCTAATCTTGCTGGATTTATTTCATATTTAACTTTGCCGTTGAATTCCACCTTGTATAATGTTTAGTTTCGGGATAAGTACTACAACGCTCCATTTCTTTAATTCTGACCTGGCAATAGGGACTTTTAATCTCACCTCCTGTACACTGTACACTTTTTTGTCTGAAAAGTAACATAAAGTCTCTTTGAATGGTATCCTTTGCTCTTTCTTAATACTTTTCATGGCAAGTTCAAAGAGCACTTTTCTGTTCTCAAATACTCAGGGTTTTTTTGCAGGCATTTTGAAGTTAGCAACCTTTCTGCCCTTTACAGAAGTTTCCATTAACAGAGAGCAGAGTCAGGTGTGATGCAAATGCTCAGTCACACACCATAAACACTGAATATTCCAAGCTATTGTTGAAGTGAGCAGTTTATAAAGAGGTGCTAAAACCTAACCTAGATCTATAAGAGATGTTGTAGAGTGATGCTGCATAACCAAAAACATCAAATTTTGCATTCTTTGTACATAGAAGAAAAACAAAGAAAAAGAAAAAAAGAAGTCTAAATCCACTATTGGTTATAAACACTTTATCCTAAGTTTCTTCTTAATATAGTATCACTGGCACAGTCACAGCCTTCCACAGTCCAAAATATAGCAGAGCCATCCTCATTCCTCCTCACCACAAAAATGTGTTTTCAATAGTAAGCAAAAAGAAAGTAAAAAGGAGCAGTATCTAAGACATGTTACTGTAGTCTGAAAGATCATGGGGAAAAAAAAAAATTAAAAAAAATAACTTTTAAATGATTGTTTTTTATTGATGGGTTTTGGTGGGGTCCGAGGGGGTGCTGAGACAGGGTGAGAGCCTAAATCGTAGGTGCTGCAAACACCTGCCTGGAAGCTGGTGGGCCCTGGCCTGCCCAATGTCCTGGGAAACCAGACTTCCTAGGGATGCTGCTGGAAGAAGGAGTGTGCTGGAAGCATACATGGGCCGATAGCCCCACTTGTTGAGGACACCTTGCCAGCAGCCATCACCAGTTCCCATCCATCACGTCCCCTTTGGTTGCAGTAGGAACAACACCTAAAAAATACCTGCACCAAGTTCTGCCTCTTCTTGTATCAGTCCCATGTGCTTGATGTCCCAACACTGTGTTAGTAGCTGCTAGAAAGATTGTGTTATCAGTACAATATAAACCCTGGCTGAGATATACAAACTATGCTCTTCAAGCATAGAAGTGATCCTGAGCTCTTCATCTGTATGACAGCGGTGGCTTTAATAACCCCTTGAATTGACTCAGTGTTTATATATTTCTTCCAGAACACTCACTTCTTGATTTTGAAATGAGCAGTAAGCTGCTTACTGCTTTCTGCTTATTGACATATATCAAATATCACGGATAAAATGCAGACAAAATGCCTGTGGTGGTTGGGGCAGAATTCATTACTCTTGCAGTAGTCCTTAGCATCTTCTGGAACAGAAGGTAGATTGCTTTTTTTTTTTTTTTTTTTTTTTTCTATTTTTAATATATCAAATCCATGAGAGCAGGGGGTTATTTGCAATCTTATCTGAGTAAATAGCTCAAAAGACAAAAGGTAATTGCTGAATGCTTACCACTGTGGTAAGAAAAAAAAAAAATAAAAAAAAATCAGTTGTTAATGGTAAGCGTTTGTCTCCACCATTTTTGTACTGTTATGCCTTGTGGGATGGGGAATGTGCTTCGTTAGGGATTTCTCTTAAAAAAAAAATGTAAACCATGTGCACAGTCAGTTCAAGGTTTTTACCTCAGAAATAATTATGTCCATAGTTACACACTGCCTGTTAGCTAAATGTCATTCAAGGTCTTCCTTGAAATCTTAGAAGCATAAGTAATACCAGATTAGCTAAGTTCCTGAAAAGTATTTTGAGGGTTATTCTTTAAAGCAATTAAGGTTGTGTGACATGGCTCATGGCAGAGAGAGAAGAGACTGAAATCCTAAAGGAATAAAGCAGCCTCCTCTTTCCATTTACTGCAGGAAAGTCTGTGTATTGTTAAGCATGGGGCTTTTGTATGTGAACAGGAGCCACATGTACACCCAGAAAGAGTGCAAAAATGAAGCGTGATTGGGGAAATTACTTCAAATGGTGCCCACACTTCTGGGATCTCTAAGGTTGAGGGTAGGAAGTGGATAAGCTGAGGTTCAAATTCACAGTGAGACATATACGCAGTTCATAAAATTCACAAATTCAGAGTGTTATAAAATAAAGAAACTAAAACACGGGAGTATGGGTGTACAAGTAAATGTATTTGGTACAAGGTTCCTTAAATGTAGCTGCCAGTAAAACAGGATTTCTACTACAAACAAAGAATCATATCCTTAGCCAGTCCTGAATTAAATTTAGCAGTTCTCAATTTCATGGACAGGGGCTATATCCCCAGGAATCACTCCAACAAAGGGTTCCCCCAGAAACTGGGAGATGATCCAATTAAAGAAGCCTGGAAAAAGGATAACTGCTTAATGATAGAAGTAACAGAGAGCATTAGGAAAAGAGAAATGAAGACTATGAGAGCACAGTGTATGAGAGAGAGAGCTTCATTTTCTCATTTGAGTAAGGTGAGGAGAATTATACCTGTCCTTATGGTGAGTGGAGTCCAGGTCCCTGGTATCAGGCTTGGACCTACTTGCTTTCCTTCATTTCTTCTTTTCTGGTACTTCTCTCTGTTGTTTTGTGCAGACTCCATATTTAAATAAAACAAAACAAAATAAAAATTTACATTGATTCTTAAGGAGTCTTTTTAGATGTACATCTCTTATCAAAAAGCGGCTCTGAACTTGAAGGCTCTGTTTGGGGCAGTACCAGCAGAGAATGAAAGACTGCTCTTAATCCTTGCTGAGACAGGGGAGTGGTGGGTGGGAATATAGGGAAGGTTCCTGAGAGCCATTGCCTTGGAAATCCCACCCATGGCAGCTTCATCGAGAGCTACCAGTTCTTGTTAGCTTCCTATAGGTACTGGCAGATCCACAGGGACTTTATTATCATGCTTGGAAGAACTGCGTAATGATGCATCTCCATCCCATGCTCATCACAGGTAGCATCGCAGAGATGGCCTGGGAGAGTGTGTGATTGATTCAGAAGCATCTGAGACTGACTCACCTTTAGGCATGGCTTGGCAATCCTTTCTGCTTATCCTTTCTGCTTAACCTTTGCAGCTTCCAGTCTGACCTTCTACTTCAGCCAGCGTGGCTGTGAGTCGGTGGATTGGTGCAGGCTGGGGGCTCTGAGTGCAGCACAATCCCATGCTAAATCAGCCTATGGACAGGGCAACGCTTTGTGAGGCTTTGCTGTTGGTAAATTAAATGTTGATTGTGTTGATTATGTTAATGTGCATGATTACTACTCTTCTAGAGCTCTAGTGTTCTTTGAGCAGGGACTTTTGCTGACTGAAAATCTGTATTCTATATATTTTATATTTGTCCTCTGTTAAGATACATGTGTATTTTGGCATGGGCTGCATGCAGGCCCACCAGGCCCCCCATTGGCAGCAGCACACCTTCATGTGGCAGGTACACTCCTGAACAAGCCGAACAGGCCGAACACTTTTATTACAATACAATAGCCACGTACCCAAAGCCAGATCTGGATCTTTTTCTTCTCTGCTACCTGCGTGGCTCTGTTGTCCCTAGCAGCCTTCTCCAGGCATGGGTGAGACCAGAAACAAGACCCCTGCTCTGTCAGTGAAATGGACGTCAGAAGCAAGGCTGGTATGCTAAACCAGACACGTGATTACCAGAAGAAATTACTTGGCAGAAGTTGAAGCACCAGACATGCAGAAATGTTTGCTTTGAAATTCCAGAGACTTGACTGTCCCTTTGGTTTTTCGGAATGCTTTGATTTAGTCGTGTGGGGTGGAAGCAGTCTGTAACCTTGCAAGGGCACTGGGAATACTACCCCTTGTGCAGCCATGGGATATGTGAAGCGAATTAACTGTCAGCAAGCTTCAGGGAGACAGCAGATGTATACGTGGTTAAGAGAAGTTTGTCTGTCTTATGAAATTTATTTCCACCACAGGATCAAAAGCAATTATGTGTATGAAATATATAATCCTTGGATGGGTAATGTATAACAGGGCATAGCAATGTAAGTGAGGGAACAGCGAATCCATTGCATTCAAATATCTGAATAGTTTCACTTTTAATTACTTGAAAGCAGAAGACAAGTAGGCTCCTACGATTTCCATGAGTACAAATTGTTCATGCCCATAAGGAAATCAAGATTTGGTGCAGCTAAAATAACCCATTTTTATTATTAATTTTCAGAAGTAAACATTTACAGCCAACTTTTCTTGCTTTTGGGTGCAGCTTGCAGGACAACCCTTTCATCAGGCAAAGTAACTGTTGACACAAATCTAGTTGCTGTTCTTAAGTGCCTGTCTGATTTGCTCATATGGCAGTAGTTACAGGTGCTTTGCTTACATTTTCTGCCTCTTCTTGTGTTACTAACTCAAATGTGAGCTTAGTTTATACCTCCCAACTCTGAGTCTCAGAAAAAAGCAGTGGAGCTGGATGCTGTTCCCACGTTGCTGGGGGGCTCCCACCCTCTTGCACACCAAGGAACATGTGTAGATTGTTAATGTACATGCTATAAATTGTTAATGGGACTTGCAAGAGAGGAGAGAGAAAAAAACACCTAGCTGAAACTTCCTCATAATAACTTCAGTAATTCAGTCCTCTTGTATGGCTTTTATATATTGTTAAATTATATATTAATATATATTAAGTGTTTCCATTTATTTTTCACTCTTGACATTTTGTTTCTATGATGATAAAGAATAAAAATAAGATGAGGGGAAAACACTGAAGCTTTAAAACCAAGTGTTATAAAAGGAAGGGAAACTGAACAGTGCCATAAAAATGGGCTCTTCTTCCAGCTTTGGAGAAATGCTAGATATTTTTAAATTAGAAATTTTAAAATATGTTTGTTTGTTTTTTTCCACTGGGAAATCACCTGATTCTTTCTGATTTGCTGGTGGGCTGCAAAACCTTGTGAGCCATATCAAGACAGCCCAACTTCTCCGATTATCAAGCTAAAGGGCACAAGAAGCCTGCTGAGCAGGGGACCAGCACAAGCCAGGCTACAGGGGAAAGTACCTTTTATCTGAGATCACTCATTTGATGTGTTTTGGGAGATCTTAGTGAAGTGCATTTTGCTGGATGGAAAAAAGAATAGGTAGACTATAATTGTTTTTGATTTGTTGACTCTAGGCTTGTTGGTGAGGCATCTGCCCATATTTTGAATCTCCCTTGGTTCTTACTTAGTGTTGCACTTTAAGCACATGTTGAACCATGGGTGAATACAAAACATGCACTTTTAAGAGGTTTTGAAGCATGGTAAGATGGGAGACAGGAGTTCCCATAAGGTGTTTGCTTTTTCATTAACTAATGAAAAGGGATTTTTTTCACTGAAACTGAACAGCTTATTTCTGGTGAGTTGGGTCATCATGGCTGTCTCTGGGAATACTGTGAGTCCTCTGAAGATGCAGACTGCAGGCAACACAGTTGAACTTACCCACAGCTGAAAGGGAAATTGCATTTCATACATAATTCACAATGCACTGCAGTGATTCCGTAAGGTCAATATCTGCTGTTAACTTGGAGGAAATCAGAGCAGGAAGAAAGGAGTGTTTGTTCTTGCTGATCTTTGAGAGAGCTGTCTACAAACTGCTGATTTCAATTCTACAGTGCTACACAAACACCAAAGTGAGCCCTTCTGCCCATCTACAAGCACTGCATCAGACGCAGATAAACTTTGCAGCTGGAATAGGATCCCTTTGTCTTCAGGTTTTCATCTCGAGGCTCAACAAAAATACAGACAAGGCACAAAATACAAACAGGAATGAGTGTGCAGCAATGAACTAGAGCTTTTTAGCTTTGGGATTCCTCCTGTCTAATTGGCCATCCAAAATTAGTCATTTGGGCCTGCACAGGGAGGGAGGGAGACACTTCCAAGGGGCAGTTCAGCGCCTCCGAATAGAGCCGGTTTAAGATGGGTGGGATATATTATTTGCTCAGAGTGCTTATTTTGTCTAGGTTTTTATAACCATTTACACACATTCTTCCAAATTTGTTCTCTTTTTGTTTTTTGGAAATATTTTCTAAGTGGATTGTGAGGACTTTTTGTGTTGGTCTCGGATTTCCTTTAGCAGCGAGGACCTCAAATTAGCTGGGTTGATAACCCCAGCCAGCATGCGGGAGTCACATAGCTGGGATGTTGAGAAAAATAGTACCACAACAGGTCCTGAATACCGTGCTGGAAAACTTTAGGCATTTGGTGCATACGCGATGCAGAGAGTAGGCACTTACAGAGGGGCCTTTATCCATCTGGATAAAGAGTGCAAAACTTACTCCATTGCTACATGAAGCTAAAGCGCACATGTACATGATGCCAATAATAGCGTGATGCACTGAATTCCCAGACAGAAATATGGTGTCCCGAGAGTCTGTAAGGAAGGAGGAACTTAACTACAATCATGCCAGGTTGCTGAATGCTGTGAGAATGGGGAGTGCATCTGAAAGGCTGGGATGTGAAGCAGAGCTGGGGAGGGGGTGGAAAGTTTGGAGAAAAGCCATGGAAGAAAATATAATGAATGTTTGTACTACAGAGAGAGACGTGGGCATCTGGAGGTAAAGGGCTTCTTTTTCACACAGGCAGCATGTTTTTGCTTGTCTAGATATTTGTTTGAATGGAAAACCATTCAGGAAAAATCTGTACAAAGTCAGGAGAAAGATGTGTGTGAGTGAGAGCAGGGAGAAGCATTTCTGTGAGAAGTGCTCACGTGGCCACATGTGGTCTAACAAAAGCTGAAAAGGCAGCAATTCTCTCTCTGGATGCAATTTGCAAACCATCATTAATTAGATAATGCTGTCCCCCTTTTTTTTTTTCAACTAGTTTAAGCTGTAATAGAGTGTAATCCATTGAATAATAAATATTCTTATGTTTCTCTGAATGTTCTTTTACTACATAATGGTGCATGTCAAGAAGAAATCTGCGGTTCTCCTTGAACATCTCCAAAGTTGTTTAGATTTGCCTTTTTAACAAGCTTTTAATGTAATAACTACAGAGTAGTATCATAAGGCAATGTTTCCCAAACTGCATGAGCTGCCAGGCCCTGTAGGTGGTTTGCAGATGGTCTGGAGACCATATTAAAATAATAAAGTCATAAACTAGAGAGTTAAAACATGGGTGATAAGAGCACCGAGTAGGCCACAAATGAGTGTTAGGAATTTCATCTACAAACACAAGGCCTCTTGCAGACAGGAGGACCTACGAGTTTTCACTGATTTCTCTGGTGTTCTGCATAGGTCAGCCTTTGCACCCACCAGAAAAAAAAAATAAAAATAAGATGGAAACACCTGGAAAGGCAACATGTGGGGGTGTCTGCTTTATGCCACTTTGTAAGGAAGGATTTGAATGTATTTGAGCAAAACCAGCTTTCCATCAGCACTGCATGAGTGGTGTCCATGAGGGTGCATCCAGCCTGCATTGCCACTTGCAGCAGTTTCCACTTTAAAAAGCCAAATATTTTCAATGTTATCTGTATCCTTAAAAGTACAGCAAAGTGTATTCACCCAGGTCCAGTGTCTGCCCTGCCTCCAGTTTTGGCTGCACAAGAGAGCTGTGAAACCCATTAAGGGGGAGCGAAGGATGCTCTGCATTACTGGGACAAGTGTCACTGGAATGATGGTGATGTAACTCTGAGCATTTCTGAACAGCCACAGTTAAATTTTCACACTGTGCATAGCCTGCAAATAATAAATATCTTCAAATGCTGGTTCTTATTTCAAATGCAAAGCTGTTATGTTTTCCTGAATTCCAAAGGGAAATATTTATGCTGTGCAAATTACCTTTTTAACCTCTAAATGACTAATATAATATTTATAATCTTTATATTCTATTCAATAGCACATCAAAAATGACATGGATGGGTGTGCTTCTCCTCTCCAAGGTTGTGCACTAAAACGAACACAAAATGGCTACTTTTCATTACACTTCTTAGTGACTAATGCATTCAGGCTACAGCAGAAAACAGGTCTGTATCTGCATTCTGCTAACACAGCTCTCTTCTGAGCAGCCAGACAAAACCCCAAACCTGCATACCTTCAAATTCTGGGACAGAAAAACTGTGGGTTTGGTTTTATTTTCTAAGAGAAGCTAACCTGCATAGAATTGCTGTTCTTTTTAGCCTATATTAGACACAGATGATTAGTCTGAAAGGTAAAGAAAATTCTCTTCAAGTAAATGAATCTATTCATACTTAGATGAGCTATTCTTCTGCATTGGCAACCTGTGGAAATGGTAATCTAATCATGCCACAGGACTAGTATCCAATATGCTGAAAGCTTGTAATTCACAGCTCAAGGGGGATGTGGAAGATAGTTGAGAATGCAGTAATTATAGGGTTGGTGCTAGAATGAGCAGTGAAATAATGTGTATTATTTTGTTCATAAGCAGGATTTTTTTTTAGCCTATAGCAAGCAGGTTTGTGAGAGCAACCTGAGCTGCAGGTTTTTTGTCTTTGACACAAAGCCGTAGGACATCTGGTGCTATTAACTATAATTCCCTCTGCATCCCAGTAACACCTTTACAAAAACATATGCACATGCATGTACATTTACCTTAAAGCTGATGAAAACTCTCTCCATTTCAGTCATGGAAAAAAAAAAAAAAAAGATTTCTGAATATCTCTTCCTAAGTCAGGCTGTAAAGTAAAGTGCTAGGAAGTAAAGCTCACTGCAAGGGATCTCGGTTGTATTCAGACCAGTTAATACCAAGGACACCAACCTCTTCCCTTCAACCTGTGGTGTCAA